CACATAACTCAGTCAGGAATAAGACGAGCCCATGATCTCATCTGTTGTGGAACGTACGCTTGTACAGCGCAACTACAAAGTTCGTACGTCGGTAGTTGACTTTGATGGAACTACGACGACGCCAACACCGGCCGCCTGAACGAATTTCAAGAAATCGACGCAAGAAAGGATATTGCAGAAACAAAATCAAACGAAAAAATACGAAAGAAAACAGAAAGAGCAAAACGAAGGGACGACTGGGGGGCCGAGTAGATCAGTAGGTGTTCGGGCGGTTATCAATACTAACCCGAGCCCCACGAGTATCCATGCGACTACGCATGTTCCAAAACATCTACCGGCATTGCGAGCCCTATTTCTATACAAAGTCGAGAGAGGGCTGCAGATTTCGGGGGACGGCTATGCCTGGGGCAGCACCTTGAGCTGTGAAAAACTTCGTCGTTGGCTTCAGGCGCCTGGCCATTGAGAGCTGTGGCTTTTCTCTCCACACCTCATCTCGGCCAAAACACATCCCACACTTCACCAACAGGTTGCGGTCAAGGCCGAATCCGGTTGTCGTGGTCGGGCTGGGCTTCCGTGTGAGCTCCCTGTCGTAAGATTACGTCGCGCATTTGGATTCACTTTACAACCCCTTCCTCCTGCCTCCGCGCCGGTTAAGCTGGGCCTGAATTCCCGCCTCCCGGTTGCGTTGTGATGAGCGTAACGTCCCGAAAAGATAACGCCTGCTTGGCATGTAATCGAGCTAGAGGTGAAACAAAAAAAAAACAAACAAAAAACGGGCGGGCTCCCTGCCATACGAGGAAGCCCATGGCATCATGGGACTCGAAGGTGTGCACGAGCGCCATGCCGAAGTGACTTCAAATGCGTTCGTAGTTTGAAAAGGACACACCAGCCGTCGTCGGAGCGGTATCATGGGACGAAGAAGAGATGCTACGGGGGGGGGGGGGGGCGTCGGTATTGGAATAGGAGAATTCACTTATTATGCACCGTAGTGGCCGTAAATTTGCAGCTTTTTAAAGAAACGTAAACGATTTTCACCCTCACCGTAAAATGCATGCATGCATGCCGTGTTTCTGGGCCGACAGCAACACCAAGCATACAGGAAGGTGGCTGCATCTTGGGACTATTTGACTACAAAAAAAAATTAACTCTGCGTGATTTGGTACCCTTGCGCACACCTTTCGTGAGGTCCTCGTGTGTTACGCGTCAATGGACAACGTTGGGTGGTGGCCATGTTTCTCCCACTCCCATGTCGGCGGGCTACAGAAGAATATCTGGTCCGTGTCAGCGGGCCACAGCCAGATGTGAGGAGCAACTCTCCCGTCAGTCACGGCGGACCGCACTGGCAGGATCACGAGCTCTCCAATCTACACAGGACTGGCTACCGAACAGCTAGCTGAAAACGTCACAGAGTCACATTCCCAGCAGCCTGCACCGCCACAGTCTTCTGGCGTCGTTACACAACGTCGTATTCTGTGCCAGCGATTCATGATACTTGAAACTCATCACGAACTAATAAAATCCAAAACATAAGGAACACGGCCCACACGAACCGACTTCATCTAAAAGATCACATTTGGCCTACACAAACGCGTGAAAGAAGCCCACCCAAGGGCAGAGCTCACGTGGAAGGGGTTGGCGTCGGTGAAGTAGAGGTACTTGAGTGTGCACGACTCGGCGGTGATGGGTCGATGCATATCCCAGAGCTCACCATTGACCTCAGCCAGCGCCGCGCGTCCCACCACCTCATCAGACAGGTCTGAAACACGGCGCATGGCGACTGTCAGGACAACGCCACACGCAAGGCCGGTGGAATAGTTCCTGCCCTTCCAGGGCGATTTATGTCTCGGCCAAGTGCTCTCGGTCGTCACTTTTGCTCCTGAAAAGGTGTATGATTACACCATTCAGCGTCTGCACTTAAAGACAGCAAACGCAAATGCTGATTTAACAAGGCCAGGCACAACTGAAATCTCGTTAAATATGGCGCATCGCACTTGCACGCAGCACAGCCCCTGCAGAGTCCACGGGGGTGTGCTGCAACAAGCGGAGCTCTCAGGTTCCACGGCGCGTCTGCACTACGTCACAGTGTTACGCCGGTGGCAACATGACGGAGGCGCGGTCAAGCCCGAGCGCCCGCCGGCGCGGCCCCGCCGCCCGCGCCCTGCGGCGCGTTCACTCACGGCGCGCGCAGTCGTGTGGCGTGGAGATGCCCCTGTTCATCATCAGCGTGCAGGGCTCGAGCGGGCCGCCCTCGTAGCGCACCTCGACCTTCTCGAGGCGGCCGACCAACGATCGTTGGCGCTGCTCCTCCTCGTCGAACAGCGCCGCGCGCCGCCGGCTCACAGAAGCGTTGGTCAGCTGCGAGAGGAGCCCTGCGCGCGCGAGGGGTGGTCACGCACTGTTCGGCAGCGAGGTGCTGAGGTGTACATGAGGCACGCTACGGAGATGGTCGAGAGGGCTTGTGAATAGCTACAGAACCTGTTCCTTGGTGCACCAAAAGAAGTGGCAAATCATGTTGACATGGCTACTTGTACCAAAACAGGTGACATAAAGACAATGGAGTAATGTCAGCTTACCCCAGATGAATTTTAAAATGTTGCACCAAGCACTTGCTAGGGTGGCACCCCAATTAGAGCCCATGCTGAGCGTGCTCTTAGGCTAATACACTAGCTTTGTGAATCCAGTGGTCCAAACTGTAGAATAACTGAAGTGTGACTGTTAGTCAAATTAAGTTTAAGTTTGTCCAGCACACTATGTAAAAGCTTCCTGCCATGAGAGTTTTCTCAAACAGAGGAAAGCTTTCAAGAAAGACTAGGCTGTAGTTAACTGTAAATGCCACTCACTGCTTGAGAGTCTAGCAATGCACTCATTTGAGACCACTGGGATGATTATGGTTGAGTGAAATGATTGAAGGACAAAAGCATGCACTGTGAGCAATGGTATAAGCTTGTCTAATTCTCATAAGTTAGGATATATTTATCACGCCTTCCAAATTTGGCTTGAAAGCCTCAAATCAAGGATACTAAACCATCATCTTCAAACAACATATAAATGCAATATACACAAACTTGGGTATATATACAACATGTGTATATATATATATATATATATATATATATATATATATATATATATATATATATATATATATATATATATATATATATATACATATATATATATATATATCAGTTCTCAACTATATCAGTGATAGTTGCACATATTTTGTAAAACATGTCACATTTTGTAGTCAGGCATGCAAGTAGTACTTACTCCTTTTATGTGGCAGCACTGACATTGCTGTTTTGATGTGTATACTTAACACCATGGCAAAACTTAATTTTCACAGAATCTATACAATAACTCTTGAAAAACTCATGAGCACAGAATGCCCTGCAGCGCAATGTCCAGTTGTACCTGTCACCTGCAAATGAGAGATGATTAAAACTAACAGTTCTAGGACCATATTTATTTAGAAGAGCATGCGCACAATTTATCAAAGGTTTATTCCTTTAAAATACATTTCATTTTTACCAACAAGTATCAAAACAAAGACAGCATGATGACAAAACCCCTCACATGTGAGACAACTGCATTATTTTCAAAAAGTGCTGATTAACAGAAAAAGGATTCAAAAAATATCTTGAATGGAGGTCAAGAGGATGAAAAGGATCTCCAGTCCTCTCACTTCCACTAGGTACTTAGGAGATAATAGGACTTTGCTGTTCCAGCCTGAAAAGAATCCTCCCAGTATTAGTCACTGTGGTTATTAGAATCATTGGACATATAAGCAAAGACAGGTAATATGACATGGTTATTTCCATTTTCTTTGGATCTTTATGCACATACAGACACAACTAACCAAATTTAAGTAGCCAAGCCAAGCAAACATAGCATTTGGGACTATCCTATATTGGCTAACTGATCACACAGGATTCTCCCAAACTCTAGTGTTAGAAGTAACTTACATAAGCCCAACACATTCATATTATGGTGTCACATACCCATATACATGCATATGTATATATACATATATACCTATACAAAACAAAAGATAAATATAAAAGGAGGCCAAATTTGTACCACACTTAAATTCTACACTTTTCATTACCATATATTTCTAACACTACTTGATCTTTTACTAAAAGGCATACTTTTACTGGCACAAACATTGAGACACCTAGTATCTTGTATTTACAACTATGAAATCACATGTTCTTTGCTGCATGATACCACAATAAAACATTTATCAAATAGGCATCATCACAAAATACCATGTCTCTGTTGAAATGTGACAACAAAGGACCATGAAAATGTTCTGGTAAATTACGAGACCAAACCAGCCAACAAAAGTAGGGAACTGGACAGACTTATTGGTAGAAACACCTGCATCTCAGATGTTTTGCTGTCAGATGCTGCACAGTCAGTGTGGCACATGTTAAAATAAAATACACTTGTAGAAGCAGTAGGAGGCTGGTTGCCACAACCTGTGCACAATTGGCACGCAGCTTACAAATGTGTTACAAGGCACGTTCAGTGTTAGCCCAATGTCATTGATACCAGAAACCAGCAAAGCTTCAGGATAAAATCTAACAAATCCAAAGCGCTCTGGACACCTAATTAATGTTATTACTAACAAGATGAATATGAACCAATTTAAAGCCGTAATGTGAGCAAGCGTACCGTCGGTAAGTCGCAAACTTGGCTGGATATGGAACTTGTCACCACCACAAATGCCCCATGTGCGTCGCAAAAAGATGAAATTATCCATGCTCTTGGCTTATGTTGGAAAAAAGAAAAATTGACACTCATTTGAAAAACGATGACAAGAATCGGTGTTTCACCTTTTATTCATATTTTATTATGTATTTGTCTTGAGTTGATTTCATCAATGTACAAAACATGGACAAAATATTAGCAGCTTATTACTGGTAACTATGGCAACCGTGGGCGGGTTCGTTCCAGATTTAGATGCGTGAGTTGGGTTCTCGTATTGTGCAAGTTTTCGGCTATATTTGTGTTATTTTAGCCATGTTTAGACTTTAAAGAGTTGCGCAACCATTAAGCAGCCATCTCAGTTTTGATGTAAACCATTGTGCTTACAGTCAATCTCTTACATCTGTGTTGTTGCAGGTCATACTTATGCGGCCATGGGAATGCGCGTAGCGACGCATTGAAAGGTCAGCTGCCCGCATGTAAGTACCTACTTGTTGCAGTCTCGTCGCGAGAAATCATGTGAATAGCAATGATGAAATTAAATGACGTGCTTTTGACCTTATGTCGCACCTTTCCTGTTTCTGTCGCAGACGCTTTCATAAGAATTTGGGGACATTTATCGCGTATGCGTTGGGGATGGCATGCTTAGACATTTTTCCTTGTCTAACCCCACCTTATTTTGCCAAATTACACCACTACTATGTACGAACATTTGTTAGATGCTGCGCAAATACAAGTAAGCGACAGGTTCATATTCAGATCGATGCTCTCCACATTTGTTACGGGCCTGGTGGTAGGTCATGCCAGTCTCAACATTTGCGTCTTGTGCGCGTTGTGTTTAGGACGTTAATGCCTTTCACTACACAAGGTTTTGCGAATATCAAAGGATTCTGCTTTCAATTATGTGGCCTAAAGATTTAAAACCGTTACCGGTGGCGTAGCCAACTGCGATGCAGGGGCGCATTATTGTGACCCGGCAGCACGTCAAGTCGTGGCGCAAGCTGTTCGTTTTCATCGCTTGTTAAGTTGCCCATGAATTGGACTCCCTGGTTTTCATATTTAATGTCCAACAAAATTAATACCTGGATTTTCTTAGGAATAATGGCGTCAGGGACAGAACGCTAGAATTGTGTCTCCGTTGAACCACGGCTACGTACGTTCAATAGGTGGCGCTGCTGCATACCGAGTGCGACCGAGTCCGGAACCGGTGCCCAGTGTAATTCGGTCGAAGCATAACGGGGGCAGTTTTTAGGAAGATGCATATACCATCGTTGTTCTAATACCGGATAATGATTTTCAAGACCGTTTGTTCAGATTTATGTCAGTCACAGCTCGAAAGCTTGCATCTGCTGACTTGTGACCGCCCCTCGTTGCACTGAGGCAGCGCGGATACCAGCTGGGGTACATAGCGCCGAACCCGCACCCTGGAGCAGACACGATGTGTGCATCTCTGAGCAGTCTGATTTTGAGTGCGCGGACTGAAGTGGATATGATATTGCATAGAAGGCGTCATCCAAATGCGGCACGTTACATTCTAAGCTGAGTAATCGTTGTCACATCCAGCTCACAGCGGCTTGCGTCATCGGTGGCGCAGACAGCTGCCAGGGAAGATAATATGGCGACAATAGCTGACGTTTCGCTCGTTAATTCTTTGTATTGTTTTTGCGTTCATATCTGTGTTCTCGTTCAGTACGTGGCTCAATATGTGGCAATACAGTTCGCTCGTTTTCGGTCTGAAGTTATGTGGTCGTGAAGTATTGCACTTGGTGAAAAATTTATTTGTGTTTGTCAGGATGTGGAGGGAATTTATTCTTAAAATGGCAACATAGTTAAAATCAACAAATTCTGCTTATCTCTTGCACTAATTTCGCGGACTTTAATTTTCAAGACAAGGGAACACTTGAAGCCGAATGTGTGACACGCTGCCTTCTGCTGTGTTGAAACACTTGCAAATGTCATTTTTGCTTGATCTTACATCCTCAAGTTTTCACCGTAAACGGCATGCAAGCTGAAGAACGGTATTCACTGGTCTCCTATAAACACTGTACGGCGGAATAATCACAGGTTCCTATTGTTTAAGCCTGTCCATGTAGATTTAGCTTTTCTAGCCTTTTCATCGATATGGGTCACCGTAGCCTCCCGACTTAGCCGTCATGTTTCGTGCAGCACCTCGTGTCGTACCGTGTATCGGGTGTTACGATGTGAGAGCTCGAATTAATTGTTATTTGGATAGCTTTGTAGTGGCAATGTCTGCACAGGTTCGGAGCATTTTCTGGATCTACTTGTTTTGGTTTTCAGACGTAATGTTTTGTTTAGCTTTGTTAAGTCGTGGTTCAATCGTGGTATTGAAAAGTCGAACATTGTCAATAGACTCAGTGCTTTCCTGATACCGTCATTTAAACAGTACCTCCTGTTATAGTGGAAGGCTGTTTTTTTGTCAAAATAAGACATTCCGACTCACAATGCCGAAAAATTAGAAGCTCATGGCCTTTCTTGCTCATATCAAGTGCACGGATATATAATTTAAGGCCAGGCACGTCAAATTTTTGTGGAGGGCTGGGGCACATGTAAGATTTTGTCCCAGCTCTTGTCAATTTGTGTATACCCTTTTCTGACAAATCACCAGGCATCTGGTGCAAACCTCCTATTGGTTCGGGGCATGACGCCCCGTCCCCCTCCTTTGGCTACGTCTCTGTTTAAAACGGGCTCATTCTATTTCAGCAAAAGTGTAACAACGAAAGCTGACGGAGCAGTAACGGAATTTCGATCTGAAGTTGAATCTGAATTGTTTGCCAGCCCAGTTTGTCACTTGACGAACGGCCAAAACGGACTGTGGCTACTGAAGCGGGAGGTTCGTGGCAGTTCGGAATCTGAATATTATGCTGGATACTAATTGGATATTATAAAATGTCATGCTGATTCGAATGTTTGCACCGAAACCTCAGAATTGGATTGGTGTGCAGATTCCACTTTTCAGACGACGTCATTGGTTTCAAGCTGACTGCTCTGTGCTTCGGTCAGTGGTACATTTCGCACTTGGTCAAAAGAATAGACTGAGGCGTTGGTTCCAGTCTGTACTGGTGTCGGAAGTTTTGCACTTTGATGAGGATGTGGAAAGTATATGGGAAGGTGGGCTACGCCATCGCCGTTCCAACGCCACAACCCTAAGGCTCAGTGTGTCTGTTTCGTCCCATATTGGCGATATAGAGTGTATCCTGGATCAGAATTTCTTGTGATCATTCGCATTGTCTGGTCGATGCCGCGTCACGTAGGTGAGAGGTTTGGCGGGAGACGCTGCGGCCCGTTCGGAGGACGCATCCTCGCTCCCATCGTAGGACCGCACGGCTCCAGCCCGCTGAGAACGGGTGTTCTCGTGGACCCCGTAGTGCCCCGTGTCTGCTGTGTCGTGCGGCAAGACTGGTCGCCGCTGGCACGCCCTGAGGGCGCTCTAAGGGGTTTCCGCGATGATGGCCTTCATGACTCGATACTGCTTTTTATAATTCGAATCCCGACTTTAGGGATTCGGATTATCGAATCCCTCAAGACAAATCCCTAAAGGAAAAACGAGGGTTTAATTCCTCGTTTTCAGCATCATTGGATTCAAAAGGTTCGAATCTGTTCCAATTCTTTCGAGTGATGCGAATCCGAATCCTCAGCTCTGGAGGTTATCCACCGGGCTTGCACGCCGTTCCGTACGGAGGCTAACTAAATGGAGGTTGGCGGCTAACTAAAGCTACTACAGATCAGCAATCGGTTTTGTAGGATTCGAAGAAATTCGAGCCTTACGAATCCTGATACCCTAAATGTAAGGATGTCAGCCATAAAGATCAGGATTTAGATTCTGACAAGCCCATATAATCCGAAAAGCCATGATTTAAATTGCAGCATTATGTGTTAACGTTCTTACAGAGCAACTAAACGTAGCATGTAAAGATCGGAGCTGCACCGGACTGAGTGACCCGTCCTCGTTTTTAGTTCAACGTTTTAGTTCGATATTTCAATCAAATATAGTCTATTCAGATGTTTGGCAATCTCTAGTTCGGTTCCGAACCCGAATCCTCTGCCCTAGGCTTCAAACCCTAAAATGTTGTGAATCTTTAGCTTCATATGACCCGCTTCAAAATCCATGTGATTTTGAAGTTAAACGGCTGAGTCGTGACGGCTTTATCGGTTACATGTAAGTTATTTGCCATCCTGATACATATTGTAAGTACCCATCCTAAGTATTAAGCTGGCTAAAATTTCGTATTTTGACCTGAAGGGACATGAGCTGTGCGTAAGCTTTCTCATGTTCAAGGCCATTGATTTAATATCCAGTTATCACTAAACAAAACTTACCTTTACACCCAATGCACTGAGAGAACCAGCCAGAGGCTCATTGACCCGCTCCCTTACTTCAGGTAAAGCGTTTTGCGAAGTCCGGAGAAACCGTCCAGAGACTGCGTCATGCCGGGACCAGAAATTCGCCAAGGCTGCCGCGATGTCACGGCTCGCACAATCTGCCTTGGACCGGAGAAGTCAACGTACAAGGTTTTCAGAAAGCCCCAGGACAAAAAGGAGAAGAAGCCCAGAGAAATGCCGAAAAGAATGGTAAGGAAACGACTTACTGACCCCGGCAACTGCTGCCAATCACAGTCATCCATTGAATACTGTGCAAAGTATATGTATATATATATATATATATATATATATATATATATATACATATATGTATGTATGTATGTATACAAGGTCCTTTCATAGCATAGTAACTGTAGCATCAGTAGCGTCATATGAGAATAAACACGGGGACAGACGCCTTTTGATTCAACGGAATGTACTTAACACCCGTTCTGCGCTGTTTGCTGCCAAAACAAGTTTAAAAGATGTTTGTGTATTGCTATTTTGGCTCATCCATGCACACACATGTAGTTGATATCATCATCAGCATACGGTTTTTGCAGCTGGTTACAAGTGACTTGATCCGGAAGATTCGTGTCCCCTACGAGAGAGATCCACAGACAGTCACAATCAACCAAGGGAAGTTCCAGAAGATCAGCAGCTCCGCTAAGGTAACGGCACTCTGATCCAGTGTGCTGTGTGCATCACGTATTCTATACATGGACTTATTCGGCACGTCTGCGCGCGCAGAGGCAAAACCACACATGCCACGTTTTCGTGGAACGTGACGCACGTGGTTTCGCCCGTTTACACGTTTTCTCGCAGCAAGGTTAATGTGGTTTCGTTTTCGTACGGACTTATATACGAAACACATCTGTCTACCATGAAACGACGCAAGCGCCTCAAGTGGCACTACGTGGCAGCACGCCTCTGGCGTCTTTTTCTCGCCTGCGATCGCCTTCCAAGCAGTGAGACAGCTGTGGGCATGCGCTGGACGGTAGTGACTGTGTCCGGCAGGTGCTCTCCAAGCAGGAGGTGGAGGCGGCCGAGCGACGGCGCGAGGAGCAGAAGGACCGCCTCGCGGCCGAGGCGCTGGCCCGCCGCCAGGCGCTCGAGGCCGCGGACATCGTCCGTGAGTCCAAGGAAGCTGAAGCTGTAGACGAATTGAAGGAGGAAGCCAGAAAACGCGCCAAAAATATCGTGGATCGCGCGAAAATAGTAATGTATCGCCTGCCCGCAACCAGCGCTTATGTTAAAATACATGCATGTTGCCTGCGCATAGCTTATGAAATATCTAACTTGGGACGTTGAAAGCATGCACATCTCGTTTTCTCATTCGTCGCAGATCTTAAATCCATCCGTGGCCGGTGGTCAACGATTTCCCGTTACGGGCGACCAGACTGATACTGGTCAACTGAAGCCCGAATGCCTTGTCCAAGAGCTGCACATGACGCCAGTCTGTCGCTCGTCCATCAGCAGGAATAACGTTTGAGCAGCTACTTATTTACGTTTTTAAGTTGCTGGTTTGGGGAAAGCCATTCTCAGTCTTAAATAGCGTCTGCTCAATAGCGTGCATAAGTACTTGTAATGTGGTAGGAAAAATACCGCTGTGAAATTGAGCACTCTAAATTTTGATATCCAATATTTATTTATCGCCACCGCATATACTACTTCAGGCCGAGATGGAGGCTGATGAAGACATCAAGCAGATGAACCAGATGATCATGCAGGCGAAGGTTTACGCTGTCCGAGACGCGCAGGTAGAGGAGAAGAAGGTCATCGCGAAGGAGATGATGGAGGAAGAGCGACGGTTGGATCACATGATGGAACAGGTAGACTGGTGATGCGCTCTCTTGAAGGAAGCGTTCCACATTTATATGGGTTTTTTGGACTGAAATAGCCATCTCGAAGACTTTTCTGTGATGTTTTAAGTCTTGCCCTTCGTAAATGCTAAAGCCCTCTAGCTTCTGAGTTACAACCCCGCGAAGATGGGGAAGGGTTTATTGGGGAGAGCATTTCAAAGCCACATTGGCACTCATGTCATCTTAATAACGTCTTTCAACTCCTGTCATTCCATAAGGCATGCGGCGATCAAGGCCAAGAAAAAAATAAAATTGTCGAGACGCTCACATCTGGCGTTCGTGGGCGCGATTTCCAGATAGAACGTCCGTCAATTGGCTCTCAGTGTTGCACGGGGTACGATGACGTAATTAAGCCATGACTCATTGGGGAACATATCTACTAAACAGAGAATTGTTCTGTCGAGAGCAGTCTTTTGACTTAAAATGTAAATCAACAGTTCTAAGTGAGCTTGTATCATCATATCTGATGCTCGTTTCAATATCTTCAAATGTGAAACATTCGCTTTAATGTCGTATACTGCTTTTTCCTAAGATTGTGTATCCCGTTTGTTTCTCGCACTATCCTATCCACGATGAAGTCGCTTTAGACGGACGCGTGCCTTGCTGTGGCGGCCGCTGTGCTGGTTCGTGACGAGCGTCGGCGCCTGACGGCTGGGTCGGGCCGGACAGGAGCGTCAGCGGGACCTGGCGGAGCAGCAGAGACGCGAGGAGGAGCGGCGCAGGGTCAGGGAGAAGCAGAAGGCCGTCATCATCGAGCAGATCGCCGAAAACGAGGAGCACAGGATTCTCAGGGCCGAGAAGAAAAACCAGGTAGGCCAACACAGCGGGGTGTTTTATTTTCATCGTTCACTTTGTTTTACGGCCGTGATTTTTTGTAAGTGTGTATCGTGGTTCCGTGGTCCGCAAAGGTAAGGAAATTACCTTCATGCCATGCGTCAAGAAATGTACACGACCGAGGAGCTCTGGTAGTCAACACGCTCGTGACGTGCGCTTTGCAAAGCCGTAGTCAGTATTTGGCTATGTGGTCATAAACGACTGACTTTCAGCAGGGAAGGTAGTCATTTGTCCAGTCAGCGTGTATTTCTTTTATTTCACGTGGCATGCCATTTTCCCAGGAAGCTGAAACGATAAGGAAAAAGATACGCAAGATGCAACTAGAGGATCTTGAGGCAGACGAGGCAAAGAAGAAAGCGCAACACGAAATGCACGAATCTTTGCGAATTGCCAACGAGGCCATGGAAGAAAAGAAGAGAAACCAGAAGGATTTCGCCAAGCTTGAAGAGGATCAGGTATCATTCGTCGTTCCCGTCTATTGTACTTGTTTCACCGGAGCCCAGAGCACAGTGAAACCTGAAACCGTGTTATTCGTCGCGGACGGGGGCCGGGCTGGCGACCAACAGTTCGGTGATGGGATCTCACTCCTGCGCAGATTCGTGAATACCAACGCCAGAAAGCGGAGCAGGAGGCCAAGTACGAGGAGGAGCAGGCGGCTCTGAAGAAGGCCAAGGAACTCGAGATCGCGAAGATGCGGGCGATGCAGCAGCGTGAGCAGGACAGACTGGCTGGCGAGCACGAGAGGCGAGCGCGCCGCGACAGGGAACGGGTACGCCTGCGTGTGCGCCGTGGCGGTTTGCTTCGATCAATCAGATATTCATGTCGTCTCTTACCCTGATTCGTTGCATTCAGGCCGCGTGGGTGGAGTTATTTAGGGCGTCATGGTCTCGTACGATATAGATGTTCATTATTTGCCCCGAGCAAATTTCGCGCGCTACATTTTCAACATACGAGTCATTTACTGTCCGTTTGGTGTTTTAAAAATTTGGCAGGCATCTTCCTCCCCAAATAAATTGCCTGCAACAGCTTAACCAGTCTGCGACTTTCATACATGCATTGTTCCGGCAGTGTCCTCGCCGCCGGATCAACGCATCACGCCCTGACCAGAAAGGGTAACGTTTCCCGGACGGACGGCCCCTCGTGCTCGCTGTTTGCTTCTCGCTCCGCGCATGCTCCTGTGCACATGTCAGCCCCCCACCGCAGATGGAGCGCGAGTGGCGGCGCAAGGAGCTGGAGGACGCGCGGCTCAAGGCCGAGAACGATGCGGAACTGAAGCAGGCGCGCCACAACCAGGTTGAGCAGCGCGAGCGCCAGGTGGCCGTGGAGGCGCAGCGCGAGCGGGCCGAGTTCTATCGTATCCTACAGGCGCAGAAGGAGGCCGAGGCGCTCAGCCACGCCGACGACGCCATGCACAAACTGGTACGTGGGACGCCGGCGGTGAGCGGGCCGAGGGCTGGGAGCCAGGCGCTCGTGGTTTGTGGCACTGGGGTGGACGTGGGCCAGTTTTGAGGCGTCTTATGTTTCAAGAACGTACATTTAGGGTGATTGGATGTATGGTCTGAAAGTTCTCCAAGTTAATTTCTACAGAACGGCAGAAAACTGCGGTGTCCAGTCAATTTTTGAACAACAACGAATCCTTGCTAAAAGTTAGAACGACCTTCAGCCCCTGTTTTTTTTTTCACCATGATGAGTTGGGAGTTCTTATTCTGACACTAGCGACATCCACTTTACCATGAGATACTGATGAAACGACGCTATGGAGCAAGCATTGGCTGTACGAAAGGAATGCTTGTACGGAGCATCGTCCTTGTCTGGTGTGTTAGCATCTACATGACGTTTCGGCCAGCTTATTCTCCGGCCGTCAACAGCTGTCGCTGAGTACTGAGAAGCACTGGACGGTCTAGGCTTTCAGCCAGGTACGCGTCACAATCCGAATTTTGTCCCTGGAGCTGCTGAGATTCGAGCCTTGTCTTCTGATGACAAGGCCAGTGCTCTTCCACTGGGCTAACCGGAAATGGGCAACCACCGTGAGCGCCCCTCGTCCGCTCCGGTTGGCCCAGTAGTGGTAGAATGCTGGGCATGTAGCAAGAGGACCAGGGTTCGAATCCCACCAGATTCAGGGACAAAAATGGGTTGTGACGCGTGCATAGATGGCTGAAGGCCAAGCACCATGCGGTCCTTAGGGCTCAGTTACACTTGACGACGGTCTGAGGATTACTGGATGTAACGTTGTGTAAATGCAAACACATGAGGTCGTGGACGATAGTCGGGCAAGAATTACATTCCTATTACTAATGTCCCGTCTCAGCCATTCCGTAGAACTAAGCGTTGACTGAGCGGACAAAACCGAATTGGTCGATATGGCTAATATTTGCTTGCTAACGTCGTTTAACCAGTACCTTCTGCTATGCTGAAAGGCGATTGGTGTCGGATTAGAACTCCGAACTCGTGACAACAAAAAGCATCGAACGCCATTGCCACATTTGCGCGTTCTTTTCGCCATCAACGCAAAAGACGAATCCTGTATCATATTGAAGTATCGCTGTGTGGTATTCGCTTCTAATTAAGTCCATGTGATGAGGTAAAGCGTAATTGTTACGACGTTCAGACAAAAGAGCGAAGAAGTAAATGTATCACGGAAGCACCCCTCCGGAATCTCTGCATTTTATCACAAAGTGACTTTTTGTATGCCAAATCTTTGTAAATGTGAGACTATTTAGCTTCCTCTCCTTCGATGCTGCTTAGGGGGTATGTCCATCATGGCAGGTATCTCAGTTCGCCTCACTTTCCATCAGCTAGCCGTACTTCCCATTCATTTCTTCTTCTTTTTTGTCGTACCAACAAGAAGTTCTTGGCATTATGTCAGCGCAGTATGCTTCCCGTCATTCAGTCACGAGTCATTTTCTGGAGAGGATCCTTTGATCGATGGGCCGGGTTCTGTTGGGCTGTTACGGTTTTAGATCTAGGCTTAAGGTCTTGGAACAGTTCTATGTATACGTGCATCTTTCCTGCAGCGTAATGAAAAGCACCTGGTGTTGCTGAAAAAGCAAATGTGCGAGATGGAACAGAAGCGCGCGGCCGACCGAAGGCGGGTATTCGAGGAGGGCATGCACACCCGGATACTGGAGGCGCAGAAGCAGCAACAGCTTATCGAACACAAGAAGAAGAAACTTGAAGAACTTAGGTGAGGCTGAACAAATGATCACGGCGCTGTCTAGTGATTAGGAAGGGAGTTCGTTAGAGTCGTGCCAGGGGAGTGATTGATATTTTACAGTATGGTGCAAGGTTTGAGAAGACCACTTTTAGAAGGACGGAAGGGCGTTATTTGTGTTGCGATAACACACAAGACACTTGCGGAACATGCACAGATACTATCTGGCCTTTTTCCTGAGACGTGACCAGACGTAACCTATGTTTGACTTTCAGAAAATACAAAGTTCCCGAGAAGTATCTGAACGACGTGGCGCGGCGAGCCCACATCGCTTCCGAACTGCCGACATCGAAGGCATAGGGTCCAGCGGCCTGGCCCGTGTCACTGTCATCACGAAGCCGCACATCGCGAGCCGAGAATATACGCCATGCGCGGATGAACGACCGACGGCGCCAGTAGACCCCGCGACGTAAAGAGCGTTTCAAATGCCACGCGCGACAAAAGTAGTCTGGCCACGGGTTGTAGCAGGACACGGCTTCTCCACTGATGCTTCACGCAGTGTGCGCTGAGTATTTAGAGTAGGACGCATATGGCTGAGAATGTTCCTGTGGTTGGTTATTATTCTATGCACGAATGTGTCCAAAGTGAGAGAGGCGTTGACATCTTGACCTTTTAATGTCACTTGGCCTCTCGAAGTTTCCACTAGTCTCCTTTAATGGCATCACTAATGCTGATAAATCTTCTTCTGTCCATGCCCTGTGTCACGGAGAAAACCACAGTAGTTATCTTCAAGACGGAAATGACTTAGTAGCAAAGTGAAATCGCGTATGATGCGAATCGTGTCTATAAGCTTTGAATACAATACTTTCTTGAGCTGTGTTTGCGTCCGGTCTGGCATTGGCGCTAGGAATCGTGACGGTGGAGCCTCTTAAATGTGTGTGAAATAATGTTCCTGTTTCGCTTTCATGCAATGCAACGGCGCGGGATTAATGCTTGATGATTAGCGACAACTTCCCCTTTCCTAAGAGAAGGCATTCCCAATACACACCCCATGGTAATGAAGCGACACCCTCGCCGAGACTAAAGAGCAAATCCTGTCGGGTCAAGGCGACGACGATCCTCGCGTGCGGCGCCGTTCCCGGAAAACCACTGGCGCAGCAGCCCGGCGGCCGTCCCCACCACTAACGGGATGATGGAGACTCCGATACCGGACAAATAGGCAGGGTGGGCTTCTGTATTCTAGTGCCGTTACCGCGGAGGTCGGCTGCCAACGGGGCCCCTGATCATATGTCAGCTGTTGTCTGCACGTTTACAACTCTCCCTTTCAGGAGAGATGCTCCACAAAAGCGAGGGCTGTTTCACGATGGATGTGTACTTCCGACGTCATTATGCGTGCCAGTCGCCATAGGCCTAATGTGACGTCTAAAGACATTGCCTCCCATCTCCCCCCCCCTCCCCCCTAAACCCGGCAAGCACGCAGTGAACCGTCAATTTGTTTGGCACCTACAGGGGACGTGTTAGCCTTCCGTACCATTTTGCATGCTATTTACGATCTATCAAAGATAGTTCCGAAACCTCATAAACATTCGTAGCTTTCTTTTCCGCGTATTGTGAGGCTATTATGCATGCCTTGATCAATGGATATGTGCAGGCAAAGGGAAGGGGAAGGAGGCAAAACATGCGATGAGTGGGGGAGAGCTTTTATTTTATCCATGTATTTCAGCTCATGTACAAGAAAATCTGCGAAATTTTGCGAGACAGGACGGGTCAGATCACCCCTCGAACGCCAGCAGGTCCCAAACCAAACTGTAGTGTCAGATGGGAGCGTAGTGTTCACAAACGGGTTAATGGCGGTCATCTGTTGCAGGGAATGTTCCGCAAATCACACGGCACACGCCCGAATGCGAAGCCCATAGGTGTTTTTTATGACTCGGGACCTTGCTGGTGGGGCCAATGTAGATTCAGCGGCGGATGGAATGAGAATTAAACCACTGACCTTTAAATCGCGTGGCAAATGGTCTTGATATGGTATATGGATCATGGCACGCAAGTATCTGGCAGCACAACTTACTTTGCATCATTAAATGTTGTTTGACATGTCAAATGGCGCGCACCTTTATCATACCATATGATGTAAATATGTTGTTTGGCCTTTCGTGCTGCCGCTCCACACGCATTAACACCGACAACCCACATTCAACAACGCTCACACCCACACGCATTAAGGAACATTATTCACATAGATAAAACAGTAGTATTAGCATTATTCCTCGGAAAAAAACAGGAGAATGGATATATAGTTCGGTTGGTATTTCGGCAGCATGTCTTCATCGAAACAAAAGCAATTGACAATCCTTCAAAGTTGGGGAGGGGCAATTTTGAATTCACTTTTGCTTTGTTTCGATAAAGGCATGTTGCCGAAATATCAGTCAAACTATATTTCCATTCTTCTGTTTTTTCCGAGGAATAAGACTAAGTCTACTGTTTTATCTATGTCAGTAATGTTCCCCGCTAATGCACTGAACGACTTACGTCAATTATGCCACGGGAACATCAAAATTGGCCCGATTTGGATAACCTTCACACATCCCCGTGCCGTGCATCGCTTAACGTATGTATTTTTGCGAGCGAATTTGGACCGCTACGAATGTTTGTGTGTGTACCCCGCGAGTAAGTACGTTCTTAGTACTTAATACATACGGACCGTTTCCATAGAAACTTTTGTTCCGAAAAGCTTTTGTCAATGCGAGTATTTTACATTTGTACTTCGTATCGTATGTACAATTGGCATACAGAATTTTGCCTCCGAATTTCTGCGAACGTACTTTGCCATACGAGCTTTACGCATCGCATGCACCCGCTTACGAATAATTACGTGCGTCCTTCATGCCGACGCAGTCTTTCAATGTGGACTTTTTAGCCCCAGTTCGCGGGCCATCGATTTTTTCACAGAAACCGGCAACTAAACCCGAATTAACTCTTGTCGCACTGTGCACCCACCCAATATCATGACCTCTAGATCCAAGAACTTCAATACGCGCTCGGTTGGGGAGGGGCAGTTTGACCCCGAAGGTTTTTCCGAAAGGGTTTCCGAACAGTGCGATGTAGCCATACCACATTTTGCATAGCTTTAGATAATTGAATAGCGTTTCGTTTGGTATCAAAAATTAAATGTACCATGTAAGGCCGCTGACATAAGACAGGATAAAGTCAGACCATGGAATCAGCGGGGTTAATTTCTGGGGAATCGTTTAATCTGATGCAGCAGTGGAGTGTTGGATAAAGCCGTACATCTCTGAAGTACTTTATTAGGCAACACAGCAATTGAATGAAGCAATTCCATTGACCAAGGATCAGGTATGAAGGTCAGACCAGAGTCAAAACCATCCTGCTTTATTACTCTAGGGGCTGCTGTTTGGAGTAGTTTCTGGTGCTCAGTTCGAAATTATTGATAACAGGAACTGCATTATGCATCTTCCATTGACTTTTTAAATGTCAGAATAGGTCACGTACCTTAACTGACCCAGGTGAACATTTTGCTTCTAGGAGCATACTGTCTAGCGTAATCTTTGTCGCTTATTCAGTTGCAAATTGAAAGCAGTCTTGTATGATTTCTATCACCATGACCTTCGAAAGGTCGGATAAGGTCACTGCACTCAAATGAGCATGTGACCTTTCGCTTAGAACAGGTATCTAGGTTCTGGGGGCACTTTGGAGGCGAACCTGGAGTTTGACCTGATTTGACCCGAAGGTCATGGCCTAGGAATCTCACAATTTGACTGAAGTGAGCTCACATACAGGCCAAGACACCCCGTGGATTTATCGTCTCTAGTCCTCTTAGTTCCTGAGATCTTAGGAGGGTCGAAGTGACCCCCACCCTAGTGAAGGATATCCAACAGGCCACCCGAGGGCCTGTTGAATAAAGCAAGCAAAGTCTTCTTGTCGATGCTGCTCTACAATAAGAATTGCAAACAGTTCTCAAAACGAAAACTTAGTTATTCCGTGTGGTCCATTTGAAACGCGGCTTATGCCTCCACACCGTACCCTACCTCGCAGGGACACTGAAAACGCATGCCCATGTGGAGCTTTCGGCAGCAGGGTGCAGAGTGTCTCGCTAGGTTAACATTTATGGCTCTGGTCATAGCGGAGGGGCCTCTGAGTAAACTGGATAACCCAAAACCAATATACATGAATAAACACCCCCGAACGCTCTCGAGGGCCTTGGCAGATGCATGTGCGGGGCCTCCGATAACAGCGTAAGGCCCTCCGGACAAATTTGGAGTACTCAGGACCAATGTGGCGGAATGTGTCTGGACAAAAGACGAATGGAAAAGGTCGAAAGAAAAAGCAGAACGATGCAAATTCGAGATAAAAGTCAACGGGGATAAAGGTTGAATCGGAAAAAGTCGAGGGACGAAAAGTTTAAAATGATGGTGGTGTAAGGTCGGCAAAGGATTAAGGATACAAAGTCGGCAGGGATAAGAGGCGAATCGGGAAAAGGCGGAACGACAAAAATTCGCATGAATAGAAGACAGATTGTGAAATTCAAAGGACAAGAAGCCGACAGGGAACACCTAATTGAAAAAATGGAAGGAGAAAAACTCTACTTAAGAAAGTCTAAAACTAAACAACGACAAGAATAAGTCAGGTTGAAAAGTCAAAAGACGAAAAGTTAAAATGGATAAAAGTCGGCAGGAAGTCCAGGGGACATTGAGTGCTTGTGGTGACACATTTGTTATAAACGCAGCTTAAAACGCCGAGTACTCACAGTGTAACCAATGTTTGGTCTATTGCGCCGTTTAACTGTACCTCCTGGCAAAATGAAGGCTAATAACTCGGCATAAGAACTCTTGAATTATTCATGCCAACCACGGGTGTAGTTTTCTATTCAAATAGAGGAGGAGGCAAATTTAGGAAAGAGGTGGGTCAGGTCATGAGAGAAAACCTTCCGTTGGCGTTTTGAAGAAAAGTTGCATTTTTCCCCTGTCCCTCCCCCTCCCCCAACGGATCTCGCGAAACTAAGCTCTAGACGAAGTCTTTGACGTTTTTTTTGGCCGTAGAACAAGTCTTTAACGCCTTCTTCGCTGATATCGAGTACCTTAGTTTGGTGTTTGGAACAGGTCTACACAATGTGGATTATTAGGGTTTTATGCACACGCGGATTCACTGCCAATACAGTCGTACAGCAGACAAGTTTCGTTCTTTTGTGGCCCCCCTACATACTCTGCTCCGATCCCTCTCCTCAAACGCGTGCCCGTGAAGCTGGCGATATATTCGACGATTTATTTAGCGACGAGCTTCGATTTCTGTGACAAGGGTTTTGAAGTCAAGTATGGCACGAGAACATCGAAAATAAAGTTTATTTTGCAATAGCATGCGACCTTCAAGGTCAAAAGCTAGGTTAAAAGACGTGGAGCTCCATGTTCCTAAAAACTTATCTGCCAGTTAAAAATTTTCCGACACCAAAAATTTCCACGCGCAAGAAAAGGCGTCCGTTAAAAGGTGTTGACCTATCAAGGTCATCCTTCGAGATTAAATTCAGGCTCAAATGACCTGGAATTCCACATCACCCAAAAGTTACCGGCCGATTTTATATTTGCAAGCATCAAAATATTCGCAATCTCAAGAACTAGCATCCATCAAAACTTCCAGGCCTCCCAAGGTGATACTTGAAGGTCAAAAGCGGGCTGAAAGGACCGGGAACTCAACATCAACAAAAAATATCGACCAGCTTTTAACTCACCAGCACCAGAATATTCAACAAAGAAAAGACTAGCGTCCGGCAAGGAGTCCTGGCCTATCAAGGTCACCCTTCGAGGTCAAACTCAGGTTCTCTACATTACCAAGTAAATTAATAGCCGCTTTTAAACTTGCCAGC